CAATCAACTTCGAGGAGGAGGACATTAAGTACACACTTGCTACAGGGTTCGTCCAATTCTGCAAGCAAGAAGGTGTAACCATGACTAAGGTCACATGGAACGAGCTCGACCGAGCCTTCGCCAACGCACAGACCAAGGAACTGGACATCCCTGAAAGGGCATTCGAATCTGTAATTAAGCAGGAAGGGACACCGGAGTACTGGAAGACAGTCCTCCCACGCCAGCTCCACGATTTCGTGGACGAATGCTTTAGCCCACTACACCTACACCGCCTCTCGGAAGAAGACATTGAGAAATACCTCAGAATTAAGCCCGAGCTCACTGCAATAGATGCAGCTATGCTACTCATCGACCAAATTCAGCACCAGAAACAGAAAGGCCAAATAACATCAACTATCTTCCTAGACGTAAAGGGAGCATTTGACCACGTCTCACACAATCAATTCCTGCGAACGCTTAAGAAGCTAGGCCTTCCAATTAGTCTTATCGCTTGGACAAAATCCTTCTTCTCAAACAGATCGCTAAGACTCTCCTTCGACAATAAGACACAAGAATTCTCCGAGATAATAGCTGGGATACCTCAAGGCAGCCCAGTGTCTCCAATCTTCTTTCTTATCTACACCAGAGACCTCTTCCCAGGACTACAAAGCTTCAACCTATCCTATATTGACGACCTATCTCTATCGACATCCTCAACATCGCTAAAGAAAAATGTCAAAATACTAGAACAGCAAGTCCGCCTACTATCTCACCGAGGGAAAAACTTAGCGATTATGTTCGATATAGCTAAGACAGAGCTCATCCACTTTACCGCCAAGAAAGAGAGAAAAGAGAGAAGCCTACAGCTTCCAGACAACACCATTGTAGAACCGAAAGACACAATCAAATGGCTAGGTATCCACATAGACAATAGACTGTCCTTCAAGGAACATATTGCTACACGCGTAAGCCAAGCAAGGAAAGCATTCTATAGACTAGGGAGACTAGCCAACATCGAAAGAGGACTCTCCCCAAAAGCAGTACGACAACTATACCTAGCATGCGTCACAAGCGTTGCAGACTACGGATCACAAATATACTGGAAGAACCAAAGCTACGCCACTAGCCTCCTACAATCACTGCACAACCTGGCGTGTAGAAAGATAATTGGAGTGTTTAGAACGTCACCATCCCTACCAACAAGCATTGAATCCGGACTTACGTCACCTGCAATTAGACTCAACACCAACAACCGAAAGTATGCGTCTAGAGCACACCAGCTATCCAGCAACCACCCAATCCAGAAAGCAATTACAAGGATCACAAATACAGACAAAGCTAGCTACAAAAAGCCAAACCAGCATAGACAACTATACACTATTGTTAAGTCAATCCCAGAGAGAGACAACAATAGCGTAGAAAAGATAATCCCATATAGGTTCAGACCATGGGAAAGTCTTAACTACAAGGTTACTGTATCAAAAAAGAGCAAAGAGGAAGAGGCAATTGCACACACGGATTATATCCTATCAAGGAGCGGAGATAACTTCACCGCAATCTACTCAGATGCCTCACAACACGACAAGGGAATAGGGATCGGCGTAGGTGTAGTAGCGTACAGCTCCACCCACGAAGAAACCTTTTCTCAAAAGACAAACATTGGATGCTCCCAACTAGTCTACAACGGTGAACTAGAGGGGATAGCACAGGCATTTGAACACGCGGCTACAGTGGCACAAGAAGGCCAAGAGATCTACGTATACGCAGACAACCAAGCAGCAATCCATAGGCTTAACAACCTATCGGACAACCCGGGACAACAGTGGCTACTAAGATGCATCAGAGCTGCAAAGAGAATAACGACAAAGAAAGCATCGATCCACCTGCAGTGGGCCCCAGGACATAACGACGTCAAGGGCAACGAAAAAGCCGACACGCTAGCAAAGGAAGCAGCTAAAGAGAGACCAACAACATCGACCACAGCGAGCCTAGCCTACTTAGGCACAGAAATCAACAAAATACAAAAAACAGAACAACTGATGGAGTACAAGAGGTATACCGACAGGCCCACCAAAAACAGAAGCTCCTACTCAAGGATCTTCAAGCTCAACACACATACAACAATCAAAGTCCCGAAGGGAACACCAAGAGAAATCTCGAGCGCGTTCTACTCACTCAAGCTAGGACATGGATACTTCAACTCCTACCTTAAGAGATTCAACAAGAGAGACTGCAATCTATGTATATGCTACAAACCACAAACACCACAGCATCTACTTCTAGATTGCAAACAGTACAAAACACATCGAAATACACTCAAAGAAGCAATACCACACAGACCCATCACCCTCCCACTCCTCCTCCAAACAAAGACAGGCATCAAAGCTACTCTAGCCTTTATTGCAAGTACTAGGATTGGCACGAGAAAATGGCACCTTGGGCAAACCACCGAACAGACAGACACTGTATAAAACTACAAAAACAATATTTCCTTATCTAAAAGAGCCCGCTGCTACATCTCTTTCTATTCACCACACTGCTCTTTAGCACCCGCGCCAATGGAAGACTAGCTCTGAAATTGGAGTACGCAAAACACCACCCAAATTGTACAAGACCCATAGAAACTCCACAACGACCATCATACATAGAACGGCTTAGCCAAAGTCCTACATAGTCACCGACTGATACAGGACTCTAATGGAAATATAATAATAATAATAATAATACTCTCTTTTCTCTATCTTACTGATCTATCGAGTAGATCTCTAGGATAGGAATCGATTTGGGAGACTAGAAAACAGCGAAAGAGTCAATTGTTGGTGTTTTTGGTTGTCTTATCGATAAGGACTGGTCTGTGCGTTTTTGTTTTCGAAGATTGAACGCGTCTGAAGAATCTCGTTCTACTGGGTCTAGCTTTACAACCAGCTGGCTGCGGAGGCTTAGAGTATCTGGAATGTTTTTCTTCTGATGGTTTCGACTATATTCCGATGAAAAACGACGCGTTTTGATCAGTTTTCGATTTGATGTTGCGGCTCGAGGCGTTGGTGTGGGAGAAGGAGGCAGTTTCGTCGCATATGTGGCCAGCAGACCCCAGCGGCCGCAAGTGGACGACCGATCGGCTGCGGGAGGCGTTGAAGCGCGAGAGCCGGATCGCGATGGGCCAGGAGTGGACGTTTGCCGGGTACCGGGAGATGGCGATTGGCATCAGCCGGCGGTTTTTGCGTGGATCGACAGCGTTCCAGGCAGATGAGGGCGAGGAGAACAAGGAGTGGGCTGAGGAGCAGGCAGGAGATTCGATTGCCGACGAGCAGGCGGGCCATACGTCGCACGTGGCGGGACTGGTATACGCGCGAGGGATCATGGAGCAGTCAGGGGCCGTGGCGGATAGGCGGCAGCAGTTCCGGGCATCGAGCACGGATTGGCATAGATTTTTGGGCTTCCAGGCAGGCGTGGACGACCAGAGAAGAAGCAGCAAGCGGAAGAGAGCGCCGTTTGAGAGCGAGGCAGACGAGGCAAGGGTGGATCGGTGGCAGCGGCTAAGGAAGATGGACGCGAGGGCGCAGCTGACACAGATGTCAATGAGCAAGCTGAGCGAGCTCAGCCAATTGGCTTGCTCAGCCAATTGAGCGGAGGCCAGCAGCTCGCTCGGCTCGCTCGGATTGGCTGAAACAGGGCTGTCAGCTCGCTCGGCTTGATGGGCTCAGTCCCGATTAGGAAAGTTATATAGAAACCTTAGTGTTGAGTTTCTCAGCTAATATCCCACTTATGTACACCGTATTTCGCGTCCATCTCCTCATCGCTGATAGCCTCCTTTACAGGCACCTCACCACTGCCAAATCTAGCTCTTATCCATCGTCGATCGCACTGTATTGCTGCTAGAAGTTGCGGAGAAATGCTGCGCCGACGGGGCTCGAGGAGGTCACCCAGCTCGCTGAATAAGCGCTCACACTCACAGCTTGAGCCTGGGATTGATAGCATGTCGATAGCAAATTTGCTAAGGCTGGGGTAGCGATCGCGGAGTCCTACCCAGTATTTTATAGGGTCGACGCCCTCGCTAGCGATCGGTTCGCTGCGTTTCTAAGCCTCATATTCATCCTCCTCGTTCTCCGTAAGCCCTGCCGGCTTAATAAAGCTGTTAATAGCGTCTTCTATATCATTGTGCCTAACTTTAGAGCGTAAGCGCGGCTTCGGTAAGCTTTTGTACTCACAGTCCGCAACAATCAATTAAGTGGGTCCTAGAAGGTTCAGATTGGATTGATTGATTACCGCTTTAAGCCTAGTAGTTACCTATAGGAGTTTAAGCCCTACCTAGATAGGTAAGTGGGTCTAGGAGAGTGACCGGATTGAATTGATTGTTGCGGAGTCTATTTGTACTCCGCCCACAAATGTTGAAACTTGCGGTTGCTGCTCTCTAGCCAATCAGGCTTATCCGCCCACGCTGCGTCAAGGTAGCTTTTGTAGCGAGGATGAAGGATTATAGCAGCATAGTAAGCTGGCGAGAGGTCGAGCTTGTTGTAGTACTCGCGGGCTTTAACTAGGGCAGCGCGGAGGTTGATAGCAAGGTGGTCTTCGGGTGACTCTGTATGCTCATCATAAATGACGTCTTCATAGCTTTGCAAGCGGTCCTCATAGACTCCAAGTAAGTATTCAAATACTAGAATAACCTCAGCGATTGCTCCAAAAGCACCGCTTTTGCCGCGGCCTTCAAGCCGTTTTGTAGCTTGTTTTAGTGGCCTAAGCACATCAATATACTCAGCAATCACCTGCCAGTCATGGGCATTGATCCCATCAGACCTCATCCAATCCGGCGCTGCAGGCAGCTTGTTGTTACGACTTCGGGCGTACTCGTCTTCAGTTTCAATCTTCTAAATATGGTAGTTGGCGTACCTATTAACCGCTAATTACAACTCAACAGCGCGCTTAAAACACGAAACGTAAGAGTTATAGCGAGTAACAACTAGCTTAACGGGCTCCTTGATTTTGTGCTGTTCTGTTGGCGCGTTGACAGGCTGGTCCCTAATAGCGAGCTTCTGATACTTCTCAAAAAGAGCGTACTGTTGTGGTGTTTTGATGTAGTTAATAACCGCGACAAGCACTCCTAATGGTCCATCGCCTCGCCAAGTAGCCATATTCTCAGCTTCGTTCACGCGCTCAGTCTCCTCGTTGTCGTAGGACTCTTTCTCCTCACCCCAGAGTAGCATCTGGCCAATGAGATTAAGCGTATAAGGACCGCAGCGAAGGCGACGCTCAGTAGCGCTAAAGCCTATCTGCAAGGCGAGAGTGTTAATCGTGGTGTTGTTGTTATGTGCGTTGTCGAGGACGAAGTAACCGAGCTTGCCCACAGTGATTTCGAACTGCTTGAATATTGCCATCACGACCTCAGCCATAGCCTCGCCGGTGTAGGCACCTGTCAGTTGTGGGAGCGCAATAGGCAAGTCCCTGAGCTCGCCAGAGCTATCAACGTAGTGGGCGACGATACCTAAGTAACCGCGCTTGCCACCTTTTGTCGTCCATCCGTCAAAGCTTACATAGACTTTGCTCATTGATTCTGAAAGGCTTGCGATAACCTTTAGTAACAGGTAGTTGTACAGGCGTATAACGTATCGTGAGACGCTGTTATAAGATGCCCACAAGGCTCGTTCTGCCTCTACGCTAGCTAATTATATCATATTGCGAAAAGACGATGATTCGAATTGTGAGAGTGGGAGGTTGTTTTCGACGAGCTAGGTAACGGCCGCAAGCCTAAACTCTTGTATATTGAAGTTGGTAAGCTCGTTGGCAACAGCCTAAGAGCAGCCCTTCTGAAGGGCGCGTTCGAGGAGAGTTTCTTTCCGAGGAGCGACGGTAGTGCGCTTACTTGGAGGCTTCAAGCCATGAACTTTCTTGTCTTCTCCGAGATGACGTGCTGGCGCTGATGGAGACTGCGAGACGTTATGTATGCCACGGCCAACAGTAGTGAACTTGTGCTTATAGCAATAGTGGCAGATCCACGTAACTTTTGCGACGTTGCTGCGCAAGGCGATGCGATAGCCATGGCTGTATACCCAGCTTGCTCGGTTCGAAAGTGATGTGGGCGGCTTGCAGTGCTTTGGGTAGCGACTCTAATTAAAGCCGTCGTATTTGTCCTCTACCTATACGAAACCCTTGTCGACAGCCTCGCTAGCTGCTCCTGAAGCTGCAACAGTGGCATGCTCGCTGCCCTTAGGTGGTGGGATGATCGTCTCTTCGGCGCGCGACTCTCGGAGGGTCGCTTCAAAATTTGGTGCTTGTGGCGCGGCAACGAGAGCTTGACGCGGCGACAGCGGTGGAGGAGGTGGAGATGGTGAGAATGGCTGAGTATCGACTAGCACAGGTTGGCTGGCAGTCCCGCGATGACGCGCTGCGACTCTAGGGCGCTTCGAAGTTGTCGCGATTTCTAGAGCATTAACGCATGTTCTTTTTGCTGGCATTATAGCAACGGCGAGGTAGATAATAGCTGCAAATAGAGACGCGTTGGTGGAGTATAGGTGAGTGTGGTGGGTGATAAGTAGTAAGTGAAGTGTCGCAGAAGGAGAATATTGTTGCCAGGCCGTTAGCCGGAAGTTTAGTAGCTTATTTGCTAGAAATATAGCAAAAAAGAGTGTATTTTAGGTTATAACTAGGTTTCGAACTTACGCACTACACCTAAAAATCATCGTGAGATTGCCCCTCCACCAAGTCCTTCAGCCCCAAGTTTCCAACCGCTCCATCCAACCAAGCTAAGCAAGCTGACTGAGCGAGCGCCTATCCCTAAGCTCGCTCGGCTTGCAAGCGCGCACTGCGCGCTCAGCTCATTCGGCTTGGTCAAAACGTCCAAGCCGAGCGAGCTGAGCGAGCCGGCTCGCTCGTTGACAAGTATGGCAGCTGAAGCGCATGATGGGCGAAAAGGCCGAGTTCCGGGGCGTTCAGGAGGCAGCGATCAAAGCCATCACAGCAGGCGAGAGTCCCGTAGTAGCGGTGATGCCGACGGGGGCAGGCAAGAGCTTGTTGTTCATGTTGCCGGCGTGGGCAGAGCAGGGCGGCACGACGGTGGTGGTAGTGCCGTTGATCGCGTTGCGTGGCGACATGGCACAGCGGTGCAAGAAGCTAGGGATATCGTGCGTAGAGTGGCAGAGTCGGCGTCCGCCAGACGCAGCAGCGGTGGTGTTAGTGACGCCCGAGTCGGCAGTTGGAGAGGAATTTGCAACGTTTTTGAACCGGCTACGAGCGACGCGGCAGCTAGATCGGATTATTATCGACGAGTGCCATATCGTGTTAAACCGGTAGTACACGTTCCGCAAGCAGATGCAGCAGCTAGGCAAGCTGGTGGCTGTAGAGACGCAGATGGTCATGTTGACAGCAACGTTGCCACCCAGCGAGGAGGACGAGTTATTCCGGCGAATGCATTTTGAGCGTGGGCAGGTAAGAATGTTTAGGGCACCGACAGCACGGAGCAACATAGCGTACCGGGTGGTAAGGGTAGAGAAGGAGAGGAAGAGACAGGAGGTAGAGGCAACGGTGTTGGCGATGGTACAGCAGAAGGTCCGAAAGTATAAGAGCGGCAAGATTGTAGTGTACGGCAACTCAGTGCCAAAGGTCAAGGGGTTAGCCGAGAAGCTCAAGTGCCATGCGTATCATCACCACGCGGTTGGCAAGGCAAGCATGTTGGGGGAGTTCATGGGCGGCAAGCAGCGGGTGATTGTGGCAACCAGCGCGTTGGGCATGGGAGTGGACGTGCCCGATATCCGGTGCATTGTCCACATGGATTGGCCGTTTAGCGTGTTGGATTACGCGCAGGAGAGCGGGCGAGCCGGGCGAGACGGGGAGCGGAGCGAGGCGATCATGATGGTGCAGGACGGCGAGCAGCGAGCGGCGGATGACAAGCAGGGGGAGGCGGAGCAGCGGTTGGTGCGAGCATACGTCGAAGGCATAGACGAGGCGGCGACATGTAGACGGGTAGTGTTGGACGGGTATTTGGACAGGCGCGAGGCCGAGCGAGCTCGGTGCGAGGAGGGAGAGGAGAGGTGTGACGTATGCATGAGAGCCGACGGGGAGGAGATGGAGGAGGAGATGGAAGAGATGGAGGAGGTGGAGGAGATGGAGGAGGAGATGGAGGAGGATATGGAGGAGGATATGGAGGAGGGCGGCAGCAGCAACGAAGAAGAGGCGGAGACATTGGAGAGGGAGCAAGAAGAGGCGCGGCAGACGTTTAATCAGCAGCAACGAGAACAAGGCGGCCCGCGACAGAGATTGATACACACAGTCCGCAACAATCAATTAAGTGGGTCCTAGAAGGTTCAGATTGGATTGATTGATTACCGCTTTAAGCCTAGTAGTTACCTATAGGAGTTTAAGCCCTACCTAGATAGGTAAGTGGGTCTAGGAGAGTGACCGGATTGAATTGATTGTTGCGGAGTCTATTGATACAGCAGCGGCAGCAGGAGTTCGCCGACGTCGAGTGGCTGCGTAGGCAGCTGGCGCAATGGATAAACCGGTGTGGGTTATGTGAGGCAGTAGGCCAAGGATCGAGCACACACGATGTACGGCAATGTTGGCGACAAGAGAGCCAGCAGATCAAGCAGTCGATTAAGAGGATGGAAGAGACAATTAAGTTTGAGCGTTATTCGGGTTGTTTTTGGTGTGGAGTGCCGCAGGAGATATGCAAGAGGTGGGAAAGGAATAGTTTTGGGCGATATCAGAGAGTCCAAGACGGGGATTGCCAGTATAGAGGGGTATTAATAGGCGGGTTATTAAGTATAGCATTAGGGCGGAGCGAGGTAGGAAACCGATGGACGGCGCGGTTAGAGGAGTTCGGGGTTAGTAATTCAGGAGCAGGGCCGACGTTGTTTGAGTTTTTAGGAAAAAAGCGATTGTTAGAGACGGTTGAGAGCAATAACTTAGCAGGAGAGTTTTGTTGGATTACAAGATTAATAGGCGAGTAGAGGAAATATAGAGAGTTGTAACGTTGACGAGGGTAGCTCCAACAGCTCGAGTAGCTCGGATAGTGTAAGCAGCGATAAAGGCAAGAGCAGCAAGATTAGCGAGAGCGTAGGCAGGGTTAGCAGCAAGAGAGATAGCAGCAACAGTGACGATAGTAGCAGCAGTAAGAGTAGCGACGAAGGCGAGGGTAGTAAAGATATTAGAGGTAGCGAAAGCAGCGGCAACAGCGAGAGCAATGAGAGCAACGACAAAGACGAGGGCAGAGAAGGTCAGACTCCGCAACAATCAATCGGATCGGCATGATTGATTCCTATCTAGGTTAAAGGCTGCCTAATGAAGTAATTCTTTAACCTATATAGGAATCAATCATGTCAATCGATTGATTGTTGCGGAGTCTGGAGAAGGTAATGAGAGCGGCGAGAGCAGTAAGAGCGCAGGCAGCGTTGGTAGCGAGAGCAATAGCTGCAACAGTGGCGATAGTGGCGACAGCGAGAGTAGCGAGAGTAGCGAGGGCAGCGAGGGCAGCGAGGATAGCGAGAACAGCGAGAGCAACTTGATGGCAGGCAGCGTAAGCAGTAATAGCAGCTTGAGCAGGGAGGAAAAGCGAGGGTCGTGACGACGGCGAGAGTAGCTCCAATAGCGAGAGCAGCAAGAGCGAGAGCAGCAAGAGCGAGAGCAGCAAGAGCGAGAGCAGCAAGAGCGAGAGCAGCAAGAGCGGCAAGAGCAAGGAGAGCGAGGCAGGCGAGGCAGGCGAGAGCAACGAGATGGCAAGTAGCGAGAGCGTAGGGAGCGAGAGAGGCGAGAGAAATAAGAGCAGCGACATGATAGGTAGCGTCGGCAGCGAGAGCATCGAGAGCCGCGCATATAGCGAGAGTAACGAGAACAGAGCGAGTAGCGGGAGCAGCGACGACGGTAAGGACAGCGACGAAGGCGAGGACAGCGAGGATATTAAGAACAGGAGGCGTGGGAGCAAT